TGTGTCAGATCCGTGCCATTTCTGTGTCCCGGGTTTTGAACCCTTCCTTGAGGTGCCATTTCCTTGTGCCTACCCGTGTGTGAAATTACAGGCATTGGCATGTTTACTACTTAAGTGGACCATGGGTTTCTTCTCAGGACTGTCCTCTATGGTTCTTTCAGTAGTGTTTACATCTCTTTTTCTACCTGCCCTGCTCCATTCATCTTTGTGAGGTATGACTGACAAAATTATATATTGAAATTATATTACATAATAATTTGATATATACATTATGAAATTAGTGTAATATTTTTTAGATTTGTTTATCTGAGAGAGAGTGAGAGTGAGAGAGTACATGTGCACGTGCTCATGAGCAGAGAGGAAGGGAAAGGAAGAGAGAAACCCAAGCTGACTCCATGCTGAGTGGAGAGCCAGAGGCAGGGCTCAGTATCACTACCCTGAGTCTAAACCTTAGTTTAGACATCACAACGTGAGACTAAACCAAGAGTTGGACACTTAACCGATTGTGCCATCCAGGCGTCCCTACATTATGAAATTATCATCAAAATGAAGCTAATCACACCACCATTACTTGACAAAATTACCTTTTTTGTTGGTGGTGGTTCGAAAGCTTAATATTGACCCTGTTAACAAATATCAACTGTACAATGTAATATTAGCAACTGGAGTCAATATTGCTGTACATTAGATCCTCAAACTTATCTTGGAAATGAAGGTGTATATCCCTGAGCAACATCTCCCTGTTTCTCTCAACCCTTAGCTTCTGGCATTCTACTCTCTGTTTCTGTGTGATTTATTTCTTTTGTTAAAGAGTATTCATATAAATGATACCGTACAGGGTTTGTATTTTGTTGTGTGGTTTCGTTGAGTAGCATAATGTTTTCCAGACTCATCCATGTTGTGGCAAGTGGCAGTGCTGCCTTCTTTTTTATTGCTGAATATTCCTGCATGTGTGTGTGTGTGTAGTAAATGATCTTTGTCACTTTATTTCATTTATTTATTCATTTATTCATTTAAATACAATTTATTCTTTTCTTTTATTTTTTTTTACATAGACTCTGTGCCCAATGTGGGGTTTGAACTCACAACCTTGAGATCAGAGTCACATGCTCTACCAACTGAGCCAGCCAGGCGTCCCTTCTTTGTCACTTTATTTTTTATTGATTTATTTTTTAAAGATTTTATTTATTTGAGAGAGAGCATAAGCAGGGGGAAGGAGCAGAGGGAGAGGCAGGCGCTTAACTGACTTAGCCACCCAGGCGCCCCCTTTCTTTGTCACTTTAAAAACTCATACACACTTAATGATGTTTCCATATATTGGCTATGGAACAATACTGCAGTGGATATGTATGTTCAGATACATTGTGGAGATACTCATTTTGTTTCGTCGGGATACATACCTAGAAATGGCAGTGGAGGACTATATGGTAGTTGTATTTTCAATTTTTGGTGGAGCTCCCTAATATTTTTTATAATGACTTTCCTATTTACGTTCCCAGCAGCAGTATTCAAATGTTATTTTTTCTGCACATCCTGACCAACATGTTACCTCTTGTCTTTTTGGTAATAGCCACTGTTAACACGTAGGAGGTGATATCTTGTGGTTTTGGTTTTCTTTCTTTTTTTTTTAAAGATTTTATTTATTTATTTGACAGAGAGAGACACAGCGAGAGAGGGAACACAAGCAGGGGGAGTGGGAGAGGGAGAAGCAGGCTTCCCGCTGAGCAGGGAGCCCGACGCGGGGCTCGATCCCAGGACCCTGGGATCATGACCTGAGCTGAAGGCAGACGCTTAACGACTGAGCCACCCAGGTGCCCCTGGTGCAACTTTTCCATTTGATATAGTGGTATTTGTTAGTTTTTGCTTTTGTTGTGTATGCTTTACATGTCATGTTCAAAAAATCATTGGCAGGAATAAGGTTAAGGAGGCTTTTTCCTATTTTTCTTTTCTAGGAATTTTAGGGTTTGAGGTCATCTGTTCAAGTCTTTAATCTATTTCAATTTCATTTCCATGTGTGCTATAAGATGGTGATCCAGGATCCTTATATTTTCATTTGGATATTCAGATTTCACAACAGTATTTTATTTTATTATTATTATTTTTAAAAAATATTTATTTATATTAGAGAGAATCTCAAGCAGACTCCAAGCTTAGCACAGAACCTGATGTGGGACATGATACCACAACAGTGAGATCGCTACCTTAGCCAAGACTAACAGTCAGACACTTAACCAATTGTGCCACCCAGGTGCCCCCTCATTTTTTAAAATGAAAACATATTTTATTTATTTGAAAGAGGGAGCAGGGAGGGACTGAGGGGGAAAGAGAGGGAGAATGAATCTGAAGCTGACTCTGCACTGACCTGGAGCCCTAAGCGGGCTTGATCCCATGACTGTGAGATCATGAACTGAGCCAAAACAAAGAGTTGGAATCAACAGACTGAGCCACTCAGGTGCCCCTCAATATATTTGAAAGATTCATTTATTTATCTGAGAGAGAGAGGTAGAGAGACCACCTCAGGCAGGGAGTATAGGGAGAGGGAGATAATCCCAAGCAGGCTCTGACCCTGAGATCACAACCTGAGCCAAAACCAAGAGTCGAAGCTCAACCAGCTGTGCCCCCCAGGCTCCCCATAGATTTCACAGCATTATTTTTTTTTAAGATTTTTTATTTTTTTATTAGACAGGGAGAGAGTACAAGCAGGGGGAGCAGCAGGCAGAGGGAGAGGGAGAAGGCGGCTCCCTGCTGAGCAAGGAACCCTATGTGGGGCTCAATCCCAGGACCCTGGGATCATGACCTGAGCCGAAGGTGGATGCTTAACCAAGGGAACCACCCAGGTGCCCCAGATTTCACAACATTATTAAAGAGATTATTCTGCCCAGGTGTAGATTTTTGGCATAATTTTCAAAGATGAGTTCACTATATGTATGTGCATTTACTTTTGGGCTCTTTATTCTATTGCCTAGTATTATTACTGGTTTATGTGCCACTACCCTGTTGTTTTGAATACTATAGCTTTGTAATCTAGTTTGAAATCATAAATGTGCTGCCTTCAGCTTTAATCTCTCTCAATATTGCTTTGGCTTTAGCCCTTGGTTGACTTGGTGGCAGTGGTGCCGGTGTCCCCTGTGGAGCCGGCAGCTGGAGTCTGTGCTGAGCAAGAACTGCGGTAGCACGTGCCCTGTGGCTGATGGAGGTAGCCCCAGCCCTTATTTCCCACCTACCCCACAGTCTCTGCTACAGCAGGTTCCAGCCACTAGCAGCTGCTTGTGCCCTTGTTTATGCTCCACTGTGTACTACTGTCATAATGGCACTGTTGAGCTCTCTGAGATAATGCCATTCATAGACAGCTGTTGAATTGATTTTTGTTGGGGTGAAGGATGGTATCTCCTATTCTCCCATCCTGCTGCCATCAGTCACATAGGATGTTTTTCTGTGTCTGCTCTCCTGAGTAGCTCTGGGACAGTTTGGTTGTCCATGTGCCCTGTTTTCCTTCAGTATTTCTATCTTCCTAGTACCCTGTGTTGCTCACCTAGGGCTTACAGGGAAGAGTCCTTTTCGTGTCATAGCATAGACATGATCGAACATGACTAGGTGGGCTTACAGGGGCTCTGTTCCTGGTGAATAGAACCTGGGGAAGGTGTGATATCAGGCCTGTGTTCAGACCATACTGGGCACCTTTGCTTGTTCAACCAGAGTTTGGTGTGATTGCCGATGGCCACACCCCGTTTGTCTTTCCTTCTTCACTGTTGACAGTTTGTGGACTTCTGAATTCTGCTCTTTGGTAATTCCATGACGTCCAGTATAGGGGTAATTAATGCTTCTCGGGCATTCACGTCTCACAAATTTCTCTTACTACTATTTCTGTGTAGTCTAACATTCACCCCTGAAAGTTTTATCATGACATATTCACATGCCCTTAAAGTGACATTGAACAGCAGCAAATTTCTTGTGATTGGATTTTCCTTCAGCCTTGTACTTACACAAATATCACCAGCAGAAATGGTCCTACGCTAACTTGTGGGAAGAGAAGTAAGGTTTAGACCCTGGCTCTCCTTGTGTCATACCCTAGTTTCCCATTCTTCTAGTGTGCTCTCCACATTACTTTGACTATCAAGGCCCAATAATGCGCAGCAACCACTTCCAACTGTTTTCCATCAACAGTGTCTGGAAAAGCATGCCTAGGTGAGACCCATGCATATTATGTGATGGGCTCACCCCTTCACTATTGTCAACACAGATTTCACCGCTTCTTTGCTTTCAGGTTGCTGCTGTGGAGCAGAGGATGAGGCACCCTTTGCCCAGAGCACTTCTGTAGGTGTGTCACAGACCAGGACGCCCAAGGCAGCTCAGTCTTCCCGGAAGACCCACCCCTGTGAGATGTGTGGTCCAGTCTTGAGAGACATTTTCCACTTGGCTGCTCACCAGGGAAAAGAAAACAGCCAGAAACTGTTGAGGTGTGGGGCCTGTGGGAAACGATTTTATTTCAGTGTAAAGTTTCAGCAGGAGCAGCACGTGGGAGCAGAACCCTTCAGAAGCCGTGTGGACAGGGCCTCTGTTGTGAAGAGCTGGGGATTCCATGGTTCAGGAAAGCCCTTTACCTGTGGAGAAGTTCAGAAGGACTTCCTGTCTGGCTCGGGGCATCTGCAGCAAGAGGCCACTGATACTGGGGAGAAGCCACACACTATCACCCAGTGCAGGGCAACTTTACAAAGCAGAAAAAGTCATGATACTTGTGGAGAATGCAAGAACGCCTTTGGTCCCACACATTCGTACGTTCAGGACCAGGATGTCCACCTTGGAAGACAGTCCTTTGTGTGCAATAAATGTGGGAAAACATTCAGGTATAAATCTTTATTTGCCATACACCAGACGTTCCATACTGGAAAAAGAGGTTATAAGTTTAGCAAATACAGAAAATTCCTTAGGCATTGGTCAGCCTGCAGTCAACATGAAAAGACTCATACTCTGTTAAAGCAGTACATGTGCAACAAATGTGGGAAATCCTTAAGCCAGAAATCTGGCCTTATTCATCCCCAGAGATGGCACAATGGAGAAAAGAGTTATGTTTGCAGTGGATGTGCAAAATCTTTTATCCATAGATCAGTGTTGATTACACATAGGGTTCACCCTGGAAAAAGATTTTATAAGTGTCGTGGCTGTGCAAAATCTTTTTCTACTATGTCTGCCCTTGGCTATCATCAGAGATCTCACACTAGGGAAAGACCTTATGAGTGCAGTGAATGTGGGAAATCTTTTACCACTGGTTCTTCCCTTCGTTGTCACCAGAGAGTTCACACTGCAGAAAGGCCCTATGAGTGCAGTGAATGTGGCAAGTCCTTTGTCCGAAGAAATATCCTAAAACTACACATAAAGATTCACTCAGGAGAAAGGCCTTACAAGTGTAACGAATGTGGGAAATCTTTTAAGTGGAAGTCAACATTGATTAAACACCAGAGAATTCACACAGGAGAAAGGCC